ACTCCGTCCCCACTCTGATTTCTGTTGCCATGACGCCATCACAGCTGATAACAGAAACTCGTTCGTGATGAAAATGAAGATTGATTAATCAATTGATTATAAAAAATTAATTTTTTTTAAGCATTTTTTTAGTCAACAGTTATTTTCTTACAACTACAAGTATTCTACACTTAATTATTTGTATGCTATTTCCTGAGCTTTTCAATTAATTAATTTCAATGATTTGAAAAAAGAAATTAAAAAAAAATATATTTCTTTGTCAGATTAGGCGAATTCCCCTAGATAATCGTCAGATTAAGAGACAGCACGTCTAGAACATAAAGATGAACCATATATATCTCAATCTGACGTGCTTGAGTATTTCAAAATGGCGATTTTTTCTGCTGATTATAATAATGGCCGTGAATTTCGAATTATGATGATTTGGAAACTCTCTGACCTACACTTTATCGCCAATCTAGAATTTATTCTTACTTCAAAACGATTATTCAGGCTACCTAAAAAGTGCGCAAATGAACTAGCACCAGTATTTTGAAGACTTTTCAACCTGTCTTACAAGAAAGGGATTTTTCCTTCCTGTTGGAAGGAACTTTCCTGTACTTCGAGCCGAGTCGAACACTGACGATATTAATAATAACAATAGATTTTATTGATGGCAGAAATGACAAACAAAGGAAGCACATTAAAAAATATAAATCTACCAAATAGCAACAATCATTTCCCGTCCTTATCATTAATGAGAATAAATATTGAGAAAGGAATCCTATTTGCACAGTGAGGCCGATAAAAAAATCAAAAATGTGATACGACCCCGTTTTGAAACGACCGATTAGTAATGTATTTCGACCTCCAGAAGAGAAACGCCTTGTATGACATCGCGAATAATAAAGACACCCATCGATTCAGTCGTATACGGAATAACCTTGACGTCTCAACGCTGCTGACATATATATCTCCGCATAATTAATCGGTTGAAATGAAAAATAATCAAGAAACTGTTAACTGTGTTAGAACGAGTCTTCTAATTTGCATTATGAGATGCAACCTGTTGGATTTTAATTAAAGGAGAATGATTCCGTTAAAGAAGATTCGAGTGTTCTATAATTTTTTTTACAATTCACATATTTCTATAATCGAAAGATCGAGAAACTAATACAAATCATGAAATTACGAGCAACAAAAATTAATTGGCGCTCCGAGGTGACCGAGATTCCAGTGGCGCATTTGCTTTTTCAGCAGCAGGAAAACCCGGAAAAACCTGCAGCACCACATCATCTGAAGATCTTGATCTGCCAGTGTCCTCTCTTTCATTAAACAAAATGTAGGGGTCTCCAGAGGCTCCAATAAATTCAATACATCGCCAGAACACTTCGTGACACGACCATCGTCAAACTTAAACCAGTCCGTTTCGTGTTTGACCAAGGCGTAATAATGACCAAGTTCAACGCCAGAACCGCCGTGAACAATGACTGCATGAAGACTATAAGACTCGAAACGAAGTGAGAAGCCGATTTCGTTCTTTTACCATAGACATGCGCTCATATAAAAACATAATTTAAAGTTATTATAGAATATTTTGTGGTAAATTACTCACAACCAACTACAAAACCTAAAAACAATAATAACAGCGAATAAACTAAACACAATATCAATTTCCGACCGTTTATTATAACTAATCCGATGCCCCTGGTACCGTCGAATCCTTCGATACTACAGCACTGAACGTGTAGGATGAGAATCTCATCCTAAGAGCGGTTGAAGGTTACCAGCAACTCGGGCGGATCACGTGGTAAGAGAACCTACTGGCTGTATTATTCTACTGTGGTACTACTGAAAACGCTGTAATAAATGAAATGACTTAAGCTTATGCACCAGTTTCTAAATTTGAAAAAATATCCAGTAATGGGGATTTATTTAATTATATTTGGTCATCCAGGGATTTACCCGAATTCTCAAATCTATTCATTTCTAAACATTCCAAACGACTGAGTTTCAAACGTTTCTCTTCTAAATGTAACACGTCATATTCATGATTGAACTCATGTACTTCTGCTAAAAGGTGGTTTGCAAATGTGGAGTTGGTGTTTCCATTAAAAAAACTACTTCCATGCTCTATAGTTCCTTGGGAAAATGTTATCCTCGTTTGGCCAATATACAGTTTTGGACAAGAGCCGCAAGTCAACTTATATACTCCTGATCTAGTGAAGACTAAGTGCAATGGAAATGAGATTCCTGAGAGGGTAGGAAAAACCATGAAAAGAGACAAAAAACAACAGTAGCATACTCAACTTAAACATAAAAAGACATAAGGATTATTTTCGTATCACTAAAAATATGTTGTTGTTTTTTAATTGAAAGGTACTTTACAGTGTCACTCTATGTGAGACCTGAAACTATTCGAACCAAAGACAGAAAAGTTATGTCAAATTAAATCCCAAAAGTCCTAGCTCATTATGAAAGAAACAACACCTAGACCATTACTATCACTTCCTTCCCAAACCTACTTCATGCAGCTCACTTCTCCAAATCTTCAAGAAATCAAAGTACCGCGAATTTATCATACAACATTAAAAACTATAGCTATTAACATCATAGTGAACCAATTACTATCAACTTTAAAAGTGAGAGTGCTAAGAATCGTCGTAATCTCATTAATAGACTGGCACCAAACAAATATAAACTTGTTTCACGTTCGAGTACTCACGTTGACAAAAGGAAGTGGCTAAGGAACACCTGCCGGGAATATAAACTTTAGTTTTGACTGAGGACAAAATGATATTCATTAGGAACATGGTTGAGAAATGGAGCAAATGTATTCTATTTGAAAAAGAAACAACAGTCATAAGTAGAGATTCCAGTTTTGACACTTTGCTGCTATCATGTGGATTGATTGGAAAGAAAACTACGAATTCAACAAACTGAATGAAAGTACAATAGGTTGCCTTTTATGTGTCGGGATTTGGCAACCCTAGAGTTGCAATCTGGCAACTAACAGGTCTATCGTAAAGTTGGACATTTTTAAGCTTATGCCTACTCAAAACGTTTTGATATATGAACGCTATTTGTGAATCGTGAACATTTTCGTGCGATTATTTTTTTACAACTTTCGAAGTGGATTAACTTAGCAACAGTGAATGGATGAATTTAATTCAATTTTTGGCGATGAAGCTCCATCAAGGACCAGTGTTTAACGATGGTATGGTGAGTTCAATCGTGGTCCTAGTTGTCAGTTGTCAATTCTGAGTGGTACACAACCATTTGTTTGCCAGTTGTCAATTCTGAGTGGTACACAACCATTTGTTTGCCAGTTGTCATCCAAGAAATCAGGTAAACCAACCGCCGAATACGGATCACTCTTCACCACGACAATGCGAGCTCTCACACATCGGTTCAAACAACTGTATTTTTGAGAGATTTTCATGGGAAATATGTTCTCTTATCCCGAAATATAAAAGGCAACCCTCAAAGATTAACCTTTTCCACAATATCATGTCCTGTGAATGAAGGAGCAGACTTTCAAAACACTGAGTGTCATTCTCATATCAATTGGCGGAAAATACCATCCGGTTTAACAAATATTTTCAGGTGGTTAAAAATAGAGAATCATGAATGAAACTTAACGCGAACTTTTCAACCAATCTTTATGGTTCGAAGTATAATGTTGTTCCCATCATTTTGAAAAAGTCAAAGAAACAAATTTCAAAACCTCCGTTATAATAATCCTCTAGGTACTGCTTCACCTCAGTGGAGAAATACCAACAGCTTCATTGAAAATATTATTTATTATACTAGTAGATTAAGCTTGTTACATTTCAATATCTCTTGAATTATGTTCACCCTTGTTGTTTGCTTAGTAGAATAAAACACGTGAAAATGTTTTGAATAAACTTTCAGTCCTACTTGATAGAGTTGGTATCTGTAGAGTAGGGAGGGTGAGGGTAGACTTCCAGCACTTAGGCCACATGTGACCCATTGTACATCCTCTCGAGGAGTTGTCCTCCTAGTTCATCATCCATCCTGTCCTTTCCAGGAAGGTAGACAGGTCACTAGTAGACATCTCCTTTATATCGGCAGGTGTAGGCCAAGACTCGCCGAACACACACTCTCTTTGGCAACCTTGAGGTGTCTCACGGTGGCCTCCGCGAAGGTTTTGGGATGTCCAGCGATATTACTGTCGTTGCGCGGCTTCTTCAACCTCCTTGGGGTTCCCTCCGTGGAGGTGCCAAGTGAGGGAGCTTTCCTGCAGGGGCAGCCGGTTCTACGCCTTTATTCAAGGCGGAGTTCTTGGCGCCCGCCACAAGAAGTGATCACCCTGTGATCCCGTCACGGCAGACGGGATCACAGCCATGGACGGCCATATTGAAAACCGGTATCGTTGCCAACAGCCATGTCGAGACTATCTGGAGGCAGACTCATGTAACCGTATCCAACGAAACTCATATTTATTATTACCCACTCATTTCAATTATGGATAGTACTACAAGACGGCGTAACGGTGAAACTTCTCATTACACGCCGCAAGTGCCGTTCATTTATTTCGCCATCACCCAATTCACAATCGGATTTTTCAGCGAATACAGGGTTAGTCAAAAGTTACGATCGAAAGTGATGAATCGAATCTAAAACTTCAAGATTTTGTTTTCAGGTAACTTTGCACAAACAAAAAACCACGAGAGAAAGAGAAATTCAGTAAAGTCTTCGGTTTATTTGATTGTCTAAACTAATATCAAAATAAATATAGTTTAAAAAACTAAAAAACGCGCTTTTAAAGAACATCGAACTAAAAAGAGTTACGAGCAAACATACATACATACATACGGGTGTGTGAGAGAGAGAGAGATAAATACCTATTGATGCCATTATGTGATGCCACACATAATGGCATCAATAGATGTTTCAAATGAATAAAAAATTCGATGATATCTCCTACACACACTTCTCATGGCGATACTCAATGTTTCCTCAATTCTGACGTTCAAATTCAACTTTCAGATCGGCCGACAGTAACCGCCCGTGCTCCCAAACCCGTCTCGATGCTGGCGCGGGACGTCTGCCCGATGTAGCGTCATGTTGGGAGCGGAACAGAGCGGCCTCAGCGTCGGAAGGAACGCGCTGACTTGGATCCTAGGCCACGCGGACGTCTGGTATTTGTTGCTGAAGTGCGCGACCTTCGTCAGCAAGAGGCACGGCAACTTCCCGCAGAGCACAGTCTCCATCTTGGAGAATCTGTTGATGCTCGACGAGGGGCAAGAGGACGACGAGGAGGAGGGCAACAGACAGGATCTGGACGACGATGATGACGAGGCTGTCTTCCGACAAGGTAACTGTTTAATGACGTTTTTTGAAACACCCTGTACACATTGAAGAATCGCATGTTAAAACGAAAGAGCCCTGTTAAACTGTCATGTTTTTTAAAAGACGTATTTTGAGACATCCTGTACACATTGAAGAATCGCACGTTAAAACGATAGAGCCCCGTTAAACTGTAATGTTTTTTCTCAAACGATACACACACACACCCTATAAACCCCAATGGCAGCCATGCTTTTTTCTTTAATCCGAGTTTTCATTCATTATTATTATCATATCGTTATTTTTATAATTCAACCGTGTTGTTATCTTTCAACTGAATCTCTCCGATACCCATTCTATCCTTCTATGCATAGGTTACGTCACACACGTCTCTTTCCCACTCACTAACGGTGAGAACAATTTGAATTTCCCGCTGTTCGCGCGGTAGCTTCTGTTTGATCGACTGGGTAATGACGAAAATTGGAGGAGTGGGGGTGTTCTATCCTCCGGCCACCCCACTATCTGTGTTCGCCCGATTACCTGTGTTGGTACCTGCTGGTTTGGCCGATGTAAGTCTTGTCACAGTCTTAACATGGTACTTCGTAAACTCCTTGGGACTCCAGTGATATCTGAGTCTTTGGATGATGTTGCCATGTTATGTTGGCGGAGAATTCTGCTGATTTTGTCTGTGGTTCCTTCAATATATGGTAGTATAGTTGTTATGAACGGTGTTTCTCGAGTTTTCTGCTGTTTCTGTGTGATCTTGGAAACCGCTTTCATAATTTCCACTGATTAGTCATTCAACTAGATTATGGAAGATATTACAAAAGCTGAACTTCACTTTTGGAAAACAAGATAGAAAGAGCATGTTAATAGAAAAATCAGAGAAAGTGACAAAAATGTCACAGTGAATATTCACAAATAAAGTAAACCAGGAAAAACAGTCCTCCTCCAACAACCTCCAATCAAGACTCAATCAGATCAGATAAAGACGTCCGAGTCTTCGCAATCTTCATCGCGGTCGGCCGATTTTCCGGCGGCCTACGGCCAAAACAAACGGCAAACAATCGATTCCCTACGCCCGTCACGCAGAAGCGAAAGGTGGCGACCATGGGGGGGATATCAAACACACGCCAATGTTGCCAGGTGTTGGTGGATTTCCTAGAAGTACCTATTGAGAGTCACGAAGATGAAATTGCGTAACGTCAATGTATTATACATTACAAAATGAAAAAGGAATGCATTCGTAATAATGCTTTGAACAAAAATATTTATCATGTAAATCAAATCGAACTGTCATGGTAATAGTCCTGCAGACTGTAATACACCTTTTTTATCATGAATTTCTTACCAACTTTTATCTAAATACTCAGTAACCCGTTTGTGACGATTTTTGCTTGATATACCTGCTCTTTTTCCAATAAAAAACTGAATATCCAATGAATTCAGAATTTCAGCTCAAGATTTTCGCTCAATCTACCGGCTCTTTTTGCAATAAAGATACTGAATATTCAGTAAATTGAGGTTTCACAATCACAATTTCACAAGAGAACGGTATTGGACCTCAAGTTAAAAAAAAAAAGAATTCGTATTCCAACCATAACAAAATTTACCACCAATTCAAGATCCAACATTTGGACATGCACAGCCGAAGAAAATTCGGTTTTGAATACTCCTACTAAATGCCACAGGAACATTCCAAGTCTCAGGTGTAATAGGTACTTAATAGGTACTTCAGTGTTGAGGTAGACAAATCATTAAAAAGTGATGAAATGAATATAATGTAGATTCATAACAATAACAAAAATTAGTTACAAATAAACTTCTGATCATGTCAAGTTGGTGTGACGAGGTTTATTTGGCATTTCTGGTGTTATCAAGGATCATTTTCATCAGTTCAAAAGAAGTGGGACCAGAATCTTACCCTGAGGAACACTTAGATAATAGGGAAAACTACACAAGTAAGTATACAGAACTTCAACATAATGTCGGTTAGTCTATATCGATCATCCTCTTAAAAAACTATTTATGAGTATATTGAGTATATACACAAAAAGTTACAAATAATGCAGTGTAGCAGTACTGACACAAATATTATTCACAGAATTATTAAAAGTGATTGTGGATACATGATACCAAAGCCTTTAGAGAGTCGAAAGGAATATCGCAATGCTCACAGATTTTATTGAAGCTACTGCACATAAAATTCAATGGTGATCGTAGCATAACATTTGTGCGTGATGCTTCGCAATTGAATTTCAGATTGTGTCGACCTTCACTTCTGGGTACTGAGAAATTTATCTCGGGTAAAAGAACCGTACTATCAATATTGTTGTTTAGTAATTCAAGCAGGAATTATATACCAAGGATAACTCTCCTATTTTCTAAAGATATATCAAATTGTGTCAATAAAATGTTATAATCGATGTCTCTCGTGGGGTGTTGACCATCAACTTTTAGACATAAGTATTTCAAGAACTTCCTTTGCACGCTTTCAATTGATGTTTTTTGGTAGTCGTAAACTAGATTCCATAACACAGAGCCATACTCTAACTTAGATCTGGCATACGCAAAATATAGCAATTTTAAGGTGGCAATACTTTTGAAGTTTTTGCCATTTCTGTAAATGAATCCAAGCATCCTATTTGCATCAGCAGTCATATTCCTCATATGTGTTGTAAATGTTAATTTAGTGTCGTATGTTATACCAAAACCTTTTATCTCATATAAGCGGTTGATTGTAGATTTGTTGATTGAATAATCGTACATTAAAGTTCGCTTTTTTGTTGTAAATTATATTATTTCACATTTGGATACGTTCAATTGTAGACGATTTTTATTACACCAAAGTTTGATTACATCTAATTCATGTTGTACATGCAGGTCGTCTGCGTATAGTAGGCTAGGAATATTCAAAGAGGTTGCCGAGTCATTAATAAAAAATAAAAGAGGTCCAAGATTAGAACCTTGTGGTACCCCAGATGTAACTACGTACCGGGCCGATTTGAAAGATTCATATTCGACGAACTGTCTTCTGTTAACTAAATATGATTCAATCAGAGTAATCAGTTGGTTAGAGAGTCCCAATTTTGTCAATTTGCTGAGAAAAACGTAATGGTCTATTTGATCGAAGGCTTTTTGAAAGTCTAAATTAACAACATCGACTTGATGTTGTTTATTTTGGACACAATATATTCTCAAACGGTTTTCCAGCAGAATTAAACTCAAAATTATGACTTTGAACTCGAAATCACGCCTTTAAACTCAAAATTACGACTCCAAACTCAAAATTACGACTTCAAACTCGAAATTACAATTTTTAACTGGAAATTAGGACTTTAAACCAGTGATTAAAACATGATTTTTAAGAAACGAATAATGAGAATATGTGGCCCTTCCGTGAATACTATTTCAACAGATAAAAACCCCTAAAAGATGAAATAATCGTTGAATGTAAATCGATTATTAATTTATCTTGATGAAGAAAAAACGATTCCGTAACTTCGCATGAGATGTATATTAATTTCCATAAGGACCAAACTTGGGAAAAGGAAACTAAACATTCTGTCGTACTCATGAATTCAAATGTTTTGCTGACATATTATTTTTCCGACCTATGAACTTTCGAGCTCACTTGGCAACGCCGCGAAACGCGAATCGACCGACTTCGAACTTCGAATCGGCAAAGCGACACGGCAAACATGGCGACGGTGCACTGGTAGCGCGAGAGAGCAGGTGCTGTTTTTCGAGTGGCATGTGAAAAAAAAAGAATCGAAAACGGTCGAGCAACGATGGCTATGTCGAATCTGTATTCGAAAATATCGACGAAGCCCGTGAAGAGGACGCAAGACAACATGGCGGTCACGCAGACGAACGCCTGGATGAACGGTGAGATTGTTTTTGTCTATTTCGTAGCACGTTTGGTGTACGTAAATATTAGTGTGCGTGTGGTGTGTGTTTATGTACGTGCGACTGTCAATGGACCGTTCACCTCCCGGTAATTTTAGTGAATTAAACGCACAGTTGACCGACTGATCGTAAACGTATTTTCGGCATTCTATTTAGTATCGACTTTGCTGCGACTGTGCTGAATTTCTTATTTGTTTGTCGACGAATTGGTAAATTGGAACATAACCATCAATTACGTTAATTGTAGATCTCGTTGACCATCTGTTTATTTACTAGTGAGCTGGTCAATTATATATACCGGGTGTTTCAAGATTCAAGGAGTTACAGTCACATTTGAGTGAATTTTTTTTATACAGTGGTTTTTGAAAAGTGTATTCTTCAAATTATTAGCTTACTCAAAAAAAGCATCGTAAACCATTCAAGCAAGTAATGTCCATTTCTCGCGAGTAGAATATTATACTTTTTCTATGATTTATACATTTATACCAGGATTTTTTCGAAAAAGATACTTTTGGAGAGGATATACCAAATAAGAGATAAGTCATGAACTTTTCATGGTGCCATACGCCCGTTTATACTTCCAGAGTCCATATTGTTACTGTTCTTTTTCGTTAGAAAGTAATATTTCGAAACGAACTGTCAGTTTACGATCAAGTTAGACGTTTGAGAATATATTTTGAAATATGTAAATTTTCAAAACTCAATGGAAAACAATTCAAACGCGAGTGTTGAGTTATGAATTTGTGATTAGCCCTACTTACCCAACATGAAAAGGCCACATAATTGACGCTTTTTTAATAGTCATGAAAACAAAATTATGCGACAACCTAACCAAGTGTTGAGAATTATATTCACTCGTTTATTCATTGAAAACACTATATATAAAAGCCAAAAATTTGAAAAACAATTGTATTTTTATATGTTTTTATTTAATGCAACACTTTCGATGATCTCATTGTTCAAATACATGTATGGCCCTTCAGGATCTTGTGTTTTATACTCTAAAAACGTGCCATTTTTTCGGAGTGATCTCAGGAAAATATAAATAAATGCAAAATTTGTGATCAGGTCAGTCTGATGTCACACAAATTAGAATTTTGAAAGATTATGACAATGTGTCACGATTTTTTAAACAAAAATCAGTTTGAATAATAATTCCCACCTGCAAACAAACTTGACGTATTTTTGGATTTGGGGAAAGTGTTTTCCTGATAGTTCTGCCCTTCATTCTGCATCTTAAAATAGTTGCAATAATCTGTGATAAACTGTACCGCCCTTGGTGACTGACAAACAATTATTAAGTAGAAATGCTCGATGGAAATGACGCTGTGGCAATGGTAACTTTTCCATTTTCGCTCAATCATGAGTAAGAAAAATAATTATTCTTTGAAACCCCCTGTGACTTCTCTAGTCTACCATATAAAAATGGATGTTTGTTGGTTGGTTGCTTGGTTGATAAGTGATCTACATCGCTCAACCGATCGTGATGAAACTTGACATGTTTAAGTAATTTTTCATAGAGAAGGTTTGTAGGCTATCAATTTTTCTGTAACTCGCCACTAGATGGCGTGTAGAACAATTTTTTGAAAGCACTGTTCTATAACGCTGCGCACGCCTAAGGTCGTTGATTCTGATTCTATCAAAACATTGGAACAGCAGCGACACAGCAACCTAGTTCTAGTGGTTATATAAATTTGCTAATGTTTCTCTTACAGCAGAAACCCTGACCAATGGCCCTCTCAGTCTATCCCCGCCCCACCACGCCGTCTCGCAAAGGGAAAACCTGCAGGTGATGCAGCCGGCAAGCGCCCCCGGCTCCCCACCAGCTACACCGTGCGCATCATCCCCCCTCAGCCCCCCAGGAACCCTCGACTCCAATTGGCAAGCTTCCAAACCGACGGTGCGCGAAAGAAACGCAGCCATGTTCAACAATGACCTGATGTCGGATATAAAGTAAGAATCACAGTTGCGCAAGAGACGTTTGGGGGCATAGTATAATTAATTTGCAGGTTTCTAGTTGGAACGCCAGGCTCTACCCAAGCTATTCCCGCTCACAAATATGTTCTCGCCACGGGTAGTTCCGTGTTCTACGCCATGTTCTACGGCGGTCTAGCGGAGTGCAAACAGGAAATAGAAGTTCCGGACGTCGAACCGTCAGCGTTCCTAACCTTGCTCAAGTAAGTAGCTTCGGTTGAAACAGCGAGAAAAGTCCAGTTATTGGATACACTTACTTGATGACAATTCATAACATTCGATCGTGTGAGATTTCTACAGGACAGATTACAAAACCGCGGAAAACAATTTTTGCCTGACTCTGATGTCTCGCCCCGTACGAAAGTTATGAGGGGAGGGGGATAATACGTGTGTGCGGACGTACGTCTTCAACCTTTTAGTCGTTTTCATGCATGAAAGGAAATGAACAATGAAATTTTAAACTAAACTAACTCTCAATCCATATTCTAGATACCTGTATTGCGACGAGATCCAACTGGAAGCGGACACGGTCCTCGCCACGCTGTACGTCGCCAAGAAATACATAGTACCCCACCTGGCGAGGGCCTGCGTCAACTATCTCGAGACTAGCCTCACCGCAAAAAACGCCTGCCTCCTCCTCAGCCAATCGAGGCTGTTTGAAGAGCCGGAGCTGATGCAGCGCTGCTGGGAGGTTATAGACGCTCAGGTAAGCATCACCCACTCGATATCCTGCCTCGAGTTGACCGATCGCGAAGATGAGAGGTTCGAGCCCCACGAGAGGCATTTCAGTTTCGGCGCTGTCCTCAGACCGAGAATGGTTTAACGTCGGATGTTATCGTGCGGCGTTCTTAAACAAACTGTGTTAACAAAGTGAAACCTGACATATACAGTCCGATTTTTTAGCTAACCCCACTATTGATAGCTCGGAAATGGCAAGCCTCACAAAGTTGGTTAAACTACCTATTTGGGGGGGAGAGTAAAAATATTTCTACAGATCCAGACTATCACAGGCCGCTTTTGAGATGTTTGCAAAAATAAACTTGTCGGAATTCGTTTGTTGACTCTACTTCATTTCGAATATGAAAAAAAACAGGAATTTTTTGCCGTTTCACGTTTGTTATGATCTTGTGAGGACTAAATTTCAATAGGAAAACAAAGTAATATTTTTAGGAGTGATTAATTTTTGGGAAAGAAAGTTTTTGACTTTCTACTACTACATCTTGATACAAAAAAAAAGGAATAAGTAACTCTATACATGGATGTGTAGATCATGCAAAGAAGTAACTTTCAGACACGAACTGAAAGAAAGTCTTCCTGAAACAGCTACTTTCATATAAACATTGAATTACACGAAAGAAAATAATTCTTTCGAAACAAATACTTCTATATGAACACTGAATTATACAGAAGATACTTTTCTCTACTCAGTTTGTATTTCAAGCATTCGTTGTGATCAGATATCATTCACATGAGTTCTACTTTAAATGATTGGTATCAAATTGCACTTACATGGAACACTGTCATCCGCACTGGTATACATTGATGTTTCGCCTTAAGACACTTGCCCTAAGGCTCTTCAGTACCAGGTTGGATAACATTATAGTGAATGAAGTGTGTTTATTTTCTATAATGTTATCCAATTTGGTACTGAAGAGCCTTAGGGCAAGTGTCTTAAGGCGAAACATCGATGTATACCAGTGAGGATGACAGTGTTCCATGTAAGTGCAATTTGTTACTATTTATTTAAAGTAGAACTCATGTGAATATCTGATTTTCATTCCACAACGAATGTTTGAAATACAAACTGAGTAGAGAAAAGTAGTAAGTTCTGTATAATTCAGTGTTCATATAGAAGTATTTGTTTCGAAACACTTTTTTCTTTCGTGTAATTCAATGTTTATATGAGCTGTTTCAGGAGGATTTTCTTTCAGTTTGTGTCTGAAAGTTACTTCTTTGCATGATCTACACGTCTATGTATAGAGTTACTTATTTTCAAATTGTTTACTTCCTTCCTTTCTTTGGAAGATTCCCTCATCCTTTTTTTTTGTATCAAGATGGAGTAGTAGAAAGCAAAAAAACTGTCTTTCCCAGAAAACAAAAGTAATATTAACGTCAAATTCGGTGTCAGGCCATAAATAATCATTATTTGCCTCACTGCGATAGCAATAGAAAATTTGAACTTTTATTGAAAAAAAAAATAGATGACCGATTTTTGATGACGTTTTTCAAGACAAATGGGACGTTTTCCAATCTCATTGACTTCACGAAGTATCCTGACCTGAGGCAATGGTTTTGGTGTTTTTGAAGCTTATTGTGTGGCATTTTTCGAAGGGATGAGGCTGAATCCGATTTGTGAACAGCCAGTTCATATTCATAGGAATTTCCAGCAGAGCCTATGAGCATGAACTAGCTATTCGCAAATCTGATCTAGCCTCATTCCTTTTCGAATATCATCTTGAAAAAGGCCACACAATAAGCTTTTTCTCTAATAGGCGATTTGAAATAATATGAAAACTTGATTTTTGTAGCTGGTTGACTCAATTTTGAGAAGATTCAATTTTATTTGATGGTTAGACAATAAATATAACAAATTGAAGGTTTCACTTTTTTAACAACGTCAAAACCTTCTTTATATCATCTCAACAGAGCCTGAAATACAGGGACAGAATACCGAGATCCTTCTTTGAAGGTGATACACCAAATATAATTTGTTCGTTTGCCAATATTTTCTCTAACTCCTAAAAAGTTTGCGCATAAAACCTTAGATTGTAAGCAATTCTGAATGTAATGCTCAACGTTTACGTAAACATATCGTAATGATTTTTCGAATAGTTTTTGGTCAATTCGACAGCGTAGGATATCGAATGGGGATGTGGGATTGATCATTTCGACCCACCCCCAGTGAAACCTCCGGGTAGCTTTTTTCAGATGTTTTTACTCCACATATTCACAGCATAACAGTGTTTTTTTTTTCGGGCAATGTTGTAACGAAACAAACTTGTGATTGTGTACAAAATATCTGTTAATATATGGATTGTAAAAACATTCTGGATATTTTATTGAAGTAGATTGGTACCTTGATCCCGTCATCCCCATTAGCACACAATGTTCGGATTTATCGATATGTGCTGATGTCACAGACATACTCGTGAAGAGGTCAGCGTATTTGAACTTTGGCGAATAAATAGTCAAGTGCTTTGGAATTTGAAATTCTAACAGCTGAGATTTTAATTAGCAGGAATGCATTACAGAAACAGGAACACAGGGTCCTGGATAACAGTAGTTCTGGTGCCTATAAAGTGACTATTATTCTACATCTGTGGGTTTGAACCACCCTCAATTTTTTATTTGAAGAGTGTGCCTTGAAATGCGCCGAAAGATAATTTTACACACTGTTTTGTCTTGTCCGATTGATGACCTGTTTATTATGCGGTTTAGGTTCATTAAACCATTCCCAAATAAACTGGCGCAGTTTGACAAATTAGTCCCTCTGGACCTGTACGTTAAGGAGGCTGTGTTAATGGTCATGTTACGATTGTGCATGGCTGATGTCAACCTCGGAAGTATGAATGGGTCAATTGAGGCTAAGCCTATGGCAAGAAGCGCTTACTTCGCAGTCAGTGACGCAACTGAGCCTAGACTTGTGTTTAATAAACACTACAAAATACAAATGGAACAGAACACAGTCAGATGCTACAAACGCAATACGCATATGAGTACTCCAGATTGTCTAAGGATTAAATGGGGAATGGGGGGGGATCTCAATCGCCACAAAAGAAATAACCAGGAAAGGAATTTCTGGCAAAACAACAATCTGCACTGATAGTAGACAAGCCCTATTAGTCTTGAACAGACAAAGTGTTACCTCAAGGCCAAAGCCTCGGTAGATTGAAATTGAAAATTATATATTATAAAAGCAGATCATCTCCCAAGTAACCCACAAAATTTTTCGGTTTATATGTCATTTTGGGTAACTGGCATTTTTGAGACAAAAGTTCTATAATATATAAGAGTACCTTGGGATTCCAAGTCAAAATTTCGGATTTTTTTATGACGTAAATAGATCTTCACCCAATATTGTTTTTCGAATTCCAGTTTTCAACTAATATTCCAGACAAAGTAGAATCTGATTATGTTTCAACAGAAGTCATGTCATGTCAAATACTTTCTGTATTTTCTAGTTCTTTAGAACTTTTTTTTTTCGGTGGTATATAATATTTACGGTCTGTTTAGCTTTTGATCTTCGAAAAACCTGTTAATTAACTTGAATTCCAACATCAAAGGTCTTTTCCTGTGTACCTGCTTAATCAGATATGATTTTATTTTCAGAGATATTTCTTTGTAACAAGTATTCAACAAAGTTTGTTTTTCCTTTCTTTGAACAAACGGTTGAGCTTTACATGTAAGGGCCGTCGGTATATCAATCTGGCAATCAAATATATGCGGAATTACGCCTGGTTTCAATATAATTTTTCCCGCTTTCATAGTCTTGATATACATATAATTTTCTAAGTATGTTTCAATCTAAAATTCAAAGTAGTGCTCAGAGTAAACTATAATTTTTTTTTATTAATCATTATCATTCATTCTTTCATTAAAATGATCTTCGCAACAAAAATGCGTCCCCTTGGCAGATACCAAGTCGGCCCTCCGCATAGCCCGCTGTCTTAACTTTCGTAACAGTGAAATAAAAATTTTGTCTGGTGCAGTTGTCTTTTTTTATCATTATTCATATTCACGCAGTTGACACACTGCAGTAAACAACACACAACTTGCTTTCTACGGCTTTAGCAGACGTATTTCGCTCATCCGCCAGCATTCCCTTGTCGCCGAGTCGACTGATGTGACGTCAAACTTGACCACGCACCGTTTCGGTGAACGCCACATACAACCAATTAATTTGAGGGGGAAGATGAAGAGTGAAAATTCAGATTTTTTGCAGATGTGCTATTTGAAAGATAAACTTTATGAAAAATTATGAAAAAAAAAATTGTTAAATGAGCCCATTATCTAGTAAATGTCATTTAGGTAGGTCGATTAAACCTGTACCTGTCACAACAAAATTTTTACCTGAATCATCAATACCTTATCTGTGATACTAAAACAATAATTTCTCAAACTACAACTTATGGTTTGATCTCCACAAACTTTATTTTAAAAAAATATCACATGTTTGGTACTGAAAGTACTAGTATATTATTCACTATGAAACAGCTACTGTGATAGCGAAACATGTGATATTTTTTCAAAAATGAAGTTTGTTGAGAACAAATCGTGAGGTGTAGTTTATGAAATTACTATGGATCTTCATCAAGTAACGCCGAAAGACAACATGAAGTAAAGGAAAAGAGACGAATTTGTTGAAAGCATTGGAAATGCGTTTATCAAAAGTATTTATTACTTTATTTTCAACACTAAGAAGATCTTAGACTTCACTGTTATCACATAAGGGTGAATTAAAAATGAATTTATTGCTTTCGTTTTACCTGTGCTTGTCAGTTGGGCTGACAGCTTTGAAAGCCAACATAGAATAAAACATTTAGTAAAATTTGATTTCATTACTCAATATAGTTCCTTTCAAGGGCGATACAACGTTTATAGCGGTCACATCATTTTTCGATACCATTTTTATAGTACAATTTATCTTGAGCCTCAAAATATGCCTCAGTTTCTTTCTAGCGAGCATTCCAAATATTCATACACGATATGTTCCTTTGATATCTTTAAAGTCAGCTATCTCGATCAACTGGGTTTTGCGGTCACCCAAAATCTCTTTGTGGACTTTTTTAATGTTTTCGTCGGTAACAACCTCTTTGGGGCGTCCACAGCATTCCTCGTACTCGCATCACCTCGTTTGAACTCAGCAAACCACTTTGTTACCGGCTTTTTCCTGGCTCAGAAGGAGTCTTTATATAATGTGTAAGGGTTTTATCAGTTGTTACTCTGAAGGGTGAAACCGTATCAAAATTTTATACTGCTGTACCGAAAGCCAGTATTTGAGGTAGGGTAGAGTACTGGTTAGCTCAGTGGAGACGGTTGGTTCCTAAGTAGTTCAATTAATACAACCTTTCTCTTTGGAGAGAGAGAGAGAGAACGTCTATATTACGTGACTTTATAAAACTCACTTTCTAGAAAACTCACTTTCTAGTATACTAAATAACTAGCCCTGTACGTACTAGGGGTTGAAACAAGTCTAATTTATTTATATAGTTAAACAAGTTAGCTTCAAAACAACTACAAATAACTTGGCTGGTGACGAAATTGGGTGTCAGAAGAAAAATGCAATAATCAAAGAAATAATGGTGGTTCTCATCCGATTCGTTAGCTTTCCTCCCTTTTTGGCTGCAACCTGGGAAGTTGAAACTGCACTCGCTCAACTTCCAGGGAGTAGCGGAACTGTTAGGCTTTCGAATTTCAGAAATTCCTTTATTACGTTATCCAACGGCATAAACCGAAATACTTTATCAACTATTGTATCCATACCTTTGATGAAGGGTGGCCTTAGAATATGATTTCAGCTTTGTATCCCCTATAAAAGAGGTAATAACAACTAAGCTCACAACACTAGTTATTAAAAATGGCGATTCAATCCCCAATCGTGGGTAATAGTAATGAAAAATAATCCAGAAATCGTATTTTCACACTCACTAAATAAACACAGTGTGCTCCTGCCTGAACTCTTTTACTATTGATTCGAATTTTAAAATGTTGGAAAGGGTCTAGGCCCCCGTTCACGAATCAAAATAATTAATAGAGTCTAGGCCCCCGTTCACGAATCAAAATAATTAATATCATTGTTGAACTTCTCTGTCCCACTCAAGAGAGTATTACATCTAATTTGGCAGCTAATTGTCGGTAATTGATGCGGAGCGATATTTATTGACGAGACATCGAGAAACGTATCTAGTTACGAACTTTGCAGAACAATGACCTTGATATAATTTATCCAATATGCGAAACAGACAGACAACCACTCTTAAGAGAAATTATACTGTAACAACTTCTCAACGGTTGATTTTCCTGGTGCAAAATCCGAATGATGTGCCTCACAAGCCTTAGCTTCAACAGTATTTTTTTTCACCAAAAAGCAATGCTTAACACACGACATTTCTTTTTATACATTTTCTTCAAACTAACAAAAGTTGCTTCATTCAAAAATGTATATCCCACAAACTAGTAGTCAGGCAGCTGTGAAATTTGTACAAGTGTCTTTTGAAGGTTGGAATTAACTGGAAATAATATGGAATTAATACTAGTAGCGCCATCTGCCTAATATATTCGAACCGTCAGTTGCAACTTATAATAATGATAGAAATACTTTTCAAATAGCGAATGATGTACGAACTGACGTCTTTCTCTAAAAATGCAATAACCATGAGACTGCTACTGCAATTTTCCCTTTACAATATCAAAAACACTAATAATTATTCAGCTTACCATCACTTTATTCAGGCAGAAATGGCAGTGAAGTCGGAGGGCTTCGTCGACATAGACATGTCCACATTAGAATCGGTGCTGGGAAGAGAGACCCTCAATTGCAAAGAAATGAACCTGCTGGAAGCAGCTCTGAACTGGGCGACGGCGGAATGTAATCGTAGAGAAATGGAACCGACCCCGCAGAACAAAAGAGACGTCCTAGGCAACGCCCTCTATCTAATTCGTATACCCACGATGACGCTGGAAGAGTTCGCGAATGGAGCCGCTCAGATCGGTATTCTGACGCAACAAGAGACGATTGATATATTTTTTCACTTCACCGCTACTAACAAGCCGTGTTTGCAGTATCCTATCAAACCGAGGGCCGGACTGAAGTCGCAGGTGAGTAGTCACGTTTTCGAAAGGTGCTTTCAATGGAAAGTAGCAAAAGTTTTAATCGTAATTCAAAAAAGAAAACAATTTTAGTTGTTTCATAAAAAAAGTCTATTGACTATTAAGGCGAGTTTTCTTTTTTTACCCGCCGTATGCATACAAATTTGAACAGTCTTTTGAAATTTGTTATGTCAAATCATACTGTAACAAATTAATGGATTGACTGTCTTAAACAAACTTATTTCCAACAATATTTCAATAATCACAAACTAATTTATTTATTACAACACTTAGAAACTAACGCCTAATTTATTTCCACTATTTGAATTTCTTGTTTAGCCGCTCGATTCACTTTCTGAACTGTCCTCTTGGGTATGTATGATTACGTTTATTCATTATTAAGGGGTTAGTATTTTACAAAGTATTTGGATGTTTGTTGGGACCCTGCTATAGGTTTATACTTCTTCAGGAGCCCTCTTGGGTCGGGAAGCCGGACTTTTATATCGGCAACGATCGTTTCTAAAAATCTGGAGTCGGTTCATTTCTAGAGTTTTACCGGCTGTTGCCGACTGCATACTTTCGGGGTGACGTCATGTGTTTCTTCGCTGGCCGGCATATCAGTAAGGGGCGGATTCAGATTTGTTAACAATACATTGAATGTTCAAAATAAATGAGTATTTCATTTTTGATGTTTTAACCGACTCAATTATGTACGCCCATGGAACAGCTAGTAAGCAGTAAACAATAAAGAAGTTTTTATCCTAAAAAAGAAACTTATAGCTTTACAATCAATATGCACAATGACAAATATATAAAAACATACACTAATTCACTATTGTTTCATATTAAAATAGTCGTTGAGGTCGTAAAAAAATTAATTAGTAAATATTTTTTCATGGCGCTTCGGAATCATTTCTAATATTTACAGGCAACTTATTGTAAGTGTTTATACCTCATGCAGTTACTATCGACATGGTTACGAATACACCAAATTTGATATGTTTTATCTTTCATTTTATATATTGGAGTTATCTTTGCCGACTTCATATGAGTGGGAAATATCCCTGCTTCTAGAGAGCGGTTTATTATATGTGCAAGTGGTCTTACCAGGTCCTTGCCAAATTATCTCACAATAGCTGTGGTCCTACTGTGGTCCAAAAACTGTTTTGTTTTAACCTTCGAAGGGTGAATAAACGCCTTGGAGTAAATCAATCCTGGAAGATTTTGCCAGAAGTCCATAAATCTTTTTGCCATCCAATGACAGGGTCTGTTCCGATGAAGCTACGTGCAGCACCCTCCTTTGCAAGGGAGTCAGCAGCCTTATTGTTTTCCAGGCCAGTGTGACCAGGAATCCAGACAAGAGACAACTTGTTGGGCCTTTTTATCGAAGAGATTCGTTTTTGACAATTTGCTACCAATTATGACTATGCTCGTTAGGAGCCAAGAGCGTCTAATGCCACTTCACAGAAATACAGTCGCATAGGACCCTAGGCAGGTTGATATCTGTCTTGAATCTACGACTGAAAACACCTGCACCAGAACCTGAAGGTGTTTTTGATCTCTGTTCTCTCTGCTCTGAATATTTCCTTCTCCCGGCGAATCCAGTCCTCTCTATCAACCGTATTTGACAGTTGATAAAGTCAGAGGACATTCCCAGAATGCTGTTGACTTCCGGCGTCAATCAGCAGCCTATCATACTCTGCATTAGATTGATTGGCGCAATTGGCGATGTGCACAATGCCTAACCTCACTCTCTTTTATTCCAGGTCTGTCACCGATTCCAGTCATGCGCCTACAGATCCAACCAATGGCGCTACCGCGGACGCTGCGACAGCATCCAGTTCTCCGTCGACCGCCGCATATTCGTAGTAGGCTTCGGCCTGTACGGCTCTTCGAACGGAGCGGCAGACTACGCGGTCAAAATCGAACTGAAGCGGCTCGGCCGAGTGTTGGCCGAGAACAACACCAAGTTCTTTTCGGACGGTTCGAGTAACACGTTCCACGTCTACTTCGACAATCCGATCCAGATCGAACCAGAGAGCTTCTACACGGCCTCCGTCATCCTCGACGGCAGCGAGCTGAGCTACTTCGGCCAGGAGGGCATGAGCGAGGCGACGGTGGGGCAGGTGACGTTTCAGTTCCAGTGCAGCTCCGAGAGTACCAACGGAACGGGAGTGCAAGGCGGTCAGATTCCGGAACTTATTTTTTATGGACCGGCGCACGAGGAGTATTAAAGGGAGAGGGGTTGTTGGATTAGCACGGTATATCTACCGAGTGTTTTTGTATGGTGATTTCGAAGTGGTTTGAATGTGGGAGTGTCGGAACCGGTTGACGCGGATGTTATTAGTGAGGTTAGGTTTCAAGGGATCTCAATCACAACAGTGGCGGAGTTCTGTGTTATCTGGGGGTTGAACGTGAACTAAGAACTTAATTTGCATGCAATAGGAACCTTATTCAATTGATTACTATGAGAAACTGATGAATTTTATGTAGCATTTTTCAGTTCTGAGGTTTCCGAGGACACAGTTTCTAAACTAACGCAATCTATATTATTTCTGAGGTGGAAAAAATAATAGGGAGCAGAAGCGATATTTATTGGTATTATCTTAGGGATTCGAATGTGCAGAATTCGTGGAACTGAATACTATTTATGCATTTGGCAACACATCTAAATGAGTCGCTTGTTTGCCTAATTGTCGACTGGTATTAAGTGATTCATTACTTGAAACAGTAATTTTATTTAAATTTAACGGGGTATATTTTCTGAAGAGGTTAGTTTTGGAAAAGGTGTTGGCATTCTATTCCTCCACAATTATTTCTATCACTTTGTGACACAAAATGTTGATAACAACACAAAGGGCTGTAGAAAGTATATACCGCAACAGAAACAAGGCAAAGGCTCCAGTCTTTTGAAACACACAGTGGCATTGATTGAAACATACTTTTCAGTACATACTTGTTTTTTAAATTGATTTACATAATTATTCGCAGGTCTTTCATTTATTATACTTATGATCTAATCGATTTATATGAGTGCCAACTGTAGAGTTAGTTGTTGAATATAAAAACTGCGGTACAAAATTCTGACACACAAACTCCCACGAGTCATAAACTGGACACGCTACACTGAAGATTTGTCTCTCACGAGTTTTGAAACTTCACTTCATATTAGGCCAAAGATCCACAACTTGATGAGAGTCGAGAAGAGAAGGAATAAAAAATATGTATCAGGTTCCCGCAAAATATTTTTAACTGAATTTTAAAGCGTACAAAGACTACAGAAATCAGCTCCTGAATCATTGCCAACTGATTAGACAAAATATGGCCGAATAAATATATATTTGTTGGAAGATATAACGATCTAAATATACAACTTATTATAAAAAGTATTACAATATAGCAACTTCGAACATTGGGCTTTTATTTTTTTGAAGAAAAAGTCGAGATGATTTTAAGTCAATCTCATGGTTACGTTTTGTTTGTAAATAAATCAGTTTTTAGGTTAAGACCCTGTAACATGATGTATTCGATAGATGAGTTTTTAAAAATGGTATGCTGCTGTTGAAAATGTATTAAAGATAAGAACTATTTAGAATGTGTAGTAATTATTTCTCCAAGAATTTGAAAATTTCAAGTGAAATAAAATATTGAAGCTGAGGCAAACCAACATTAATTTTTATTGAATTCAGGACCCATTATTCTAATATTTCTAGAAAATAAACAATTTGTGTTTCCATTATTCCATCAAGTCGACTTACATTTAGTAATATCGACCCTAGGTTGCCATCTATTGGCAGGAAAGAGAACGAATCCCTATCACATAAAGATGAAAGATCCTTTCAGAAGTTTTCCAATTTCAACTCATTCATTGGATGAATACGAGATTGACATTGTTAGGAAATGTAATAGACTTTGGTTCTGGTGTTTGAATCGAAGACCACTGTCTGTCGCAAATTTCTGATATGTACCTCTCTTGGTGGAATCAAATGTGCCAAGTCACTTGAACACCTCCCTTGAAAATATCTATAAAAGAGAGACAAATCTCCAACTTTTCTTCGATGTTCTAGACTCAAGGTTGCAAGTATGTTCGTGTCTCCAATCAGGCGAATAGCTCTTTTCTGGATAGAATCCAGCAGCTGCAGGTTATGCTTAGGGGCGGAGCTCCGTACATGAGAGCTGACCTGAGCTTTATAAAGCATAAAAAGTTGCTGGGATTTGTACAGTGTCCCAAGCTTTTGAAAAGCTAAAACTGTCGTATGCAAAATAGAACAGAAACCCAACTTCAACCAAAGCTTAGCTTTTTTAGTGTAAATATCCGAATCAAAACATCTCGTAACGCCATCTACTAGTAAGAACTAAAAGCTAAAGCGTAGGAAACAACTGCCAAAATCTAGGCATAGTCTTAGGAAAATTTATCATTCTGACACGACCCGTCTGTCGAATGCCAAGTCTGGTTATGTCTTTCACATCCATTGTATCTAATACTTTCGGAAATTAACGAAACAGTGAACAGGAATGTTCCACTAGAAGAATTTTAACCTTATGAATTAGAACATCACTTCAATCGCCATTTTCAAAAAAATTCTAGCCTTCAACAGCTAAAATCGCACATTGAATAAGAAACTGAGCACGTGGAAAAATTCAATGACTTTCATGACTTTGAAAACTCTCTTGGCGTTTTCTTAGTTTGGTCTTTTAAACATAAGGTTATTCAAATATGAAGAAAACTAGCGATGTTAGCGTGTCATTTTATATCATTTTTCAAACGCAAAAAGCATTAACCGATTCTAAACTACAAATTGAACTTGTATACACAGTCGCAACATGTATGAACTTGAAATGTATCAAGTTGCAGAGTTCTCACGGCTTTCAACTTTCAATAAAGCACTCTCTAAGGTCTGAGCATGATAATTCTTTGCACGCGCTTATTTCATCCCAAGTGTGGATGGGCCTGCCCCAGGTCCACTTAAGTGTGGCCACATTTGGACTTAACAACAACGTTCGTTACCAACTGGCCGGATAGCCTTAGTTGCTGAGGCCACTGAATCGAAAAGAAGAAGAAGATATAAGAAATTAAAAAAACACTTACCCACCGATGGAATGTTGATACTCAGCGCCTGCGACAATCGGAGATATGTCCTTCCCAATTCGTAGCAGCATATTTGCAGAACGTCGCTAATATCTATCAATAAATCTGTGAAAATTGTTAAGGAAAGCAAAGATACGGGAGTTGTAGATAATCCTGGCTACACTGTTCGTGACATCGTCAATGGAATCGAATAATACTAGTTACTATATTCATGAGAACTCATCATCTCATCTTCAGAACCACCTATGCATTTTTATGTGGTTTCAAGACTGTTGAGTACATGTAAAAACGATAAGAGACTCTTTGAAAATTACTTTTATTGCAAAATGGGTAATATAAGTATAAAAACTTGGTGGCAAAAAAGGAAAAACATCACAAACCGTTTGGCGCATAACCTTGAAACAAACCTCAAGCGACATTCTTCAAAAACTCGAACACCATGTTGGTGATGCCCCAGCTGAGCAACGATCTAACGCCGTTCATCGCTACCCCCGGATAAAAGTTCTTGAGGCCGCCCCCGTTTTGCTTGTACACCGCCGCCGCCGTCTTGAACACGCTGTAGTGGGGCCCACCGATCTTTTCGTGCGCGAATATTTTCATTACTTTCATGGGGTAGAAGAGGGTGGACATGATGAGGCCGAGCAGGCCGCCCGAGCAGAAGTTTTTCACGCTGTCCTTCACCCTCTTGTCTTTCATGATCTGAAGCTTCTGGAGTTCCGATTTGGTTATGAAGAAACAGGAATTCGAACATATGTTACGCATCCAGATTATCGTGAAGCCTCTGTAGTACTCCTTCAGACCTGCAAGAGGAATGGATAGGATGGTGGGGTGTGTCATAAAGGATGTTTTCGAATTATACTGTAGGGCGAGATTTTTTGTCGAGGTTTCAAAATATTTCTCATGATTACGGACGAAACAAACTTATACTGACTCTGGTGACTTGAAAGCGTTGTGGAAAAACTAGTTGACAGGCATTTTAGTATGTATCATTCGCTAACAGGATATCTGCTTTCTTGCACTTAGCAGGTACAGGTAGATAGACTGTGAGCATAAAGAAAAACTGGTGTACACGAACATTATGATAGAAACTCGGACAACAGTCTATCCTCAGAAGGTCATGCTCTCACTGTAATGGACAAGTAACTACGTATTCTGGACCAAACTGGATCTGTGGAGTAGGGAGGGAGCCAACAGCACTTAAGCCACATTGTTCATCCTCCCGAGAAGTTGTCCTCATAGGTCATCATCCATCCTGTCCTTACCAGAAAGGTAGACAGGTCACTGGGAGATATCTCCTTTATATAAAGAGTTGACAGCTCTAGTTGCCTTAGATTTTTCGAAGGCATTTGATACTATAAATAATTCTCTATTATGTTTCAAATTGAAATATGGATTCTCGGATGAGTTAGTCTTGCTACTATTTTCATATCTAACGAATCGCTGTCAAACGGTATATTATAATAATGAAATGTCGTCAACTCGAAATGTTACTTCTGGTGTGCCTCAAGGGTCAATCTTAGGACCTTTACTCTTTATAATCTACACCAGTGACATCTTGAATTACATGAAACACTCAAAAATTCAGGCCTATGCAGATGATACGCAATTGTATACCAACTTAAACATCTACAACTATGGAACTATTCAAAACCTCATCAATTCTGACCTACAAACCATTTCTAATTTAGCTGCGCCACTTAATCTAAAATTGAATAGGAATGAATGCCATTTGATGCTTTTCGGTTATAAAAAGAATAGGGCTATAGTCGCACAACATCTCACAATTAGAATTGAGAACACTACACTTCCCGTTGTGAATTCCATTAAAAACCTAGGTATTATTTTTTATTCTGACCTAAAATTTGATTTGCATTTGAATGATTTGCTTAGAAAATCGTTTGGGACTTTCAAACTGATTTATTCAAATAGATATTTTTTCAGTCGACCAATCAGGAAACTTCTCACTGAGTCGTTGGTCTTATCACGGTTCAACTATGGTGACATTGTGTACAGCAATCTTTTAAGTAAATTTGATTTAAAACGGAAACAGAAAGTACTGAACTTCTGTTGTAGACTTGTCTATTATTTAAGAAAATTCGATCATGTCTCGAGTAAAATCAAAGAATTAAATTGGCTGACAATGATCAATCGTACTAATTATAATCTTTGCAATTTTGTGTACAAAGTATTGAGTTACAAAATTCCCACATCACTTTACAATAAAGTGATTCCTAGGTCTATGCTACATTCCTTGGATGTAAGATCAAAAAATAAACTGCATGTCCCTCGTCATAAGACGTCACTGTTTCAGAGGTCGTTCACTTATCTCTCCATCAAATTCTACAACTCACTGTTATACAATTGTATGCAACTTTCGAAAGGAGATGTTAAGAGTCATTCTGAAAAAACATTTTCTGAAAACCACTTTTATTATTATGTGATGCGTTTTTTTCATCGTGTCTTTCTCTCTACTTATCATTTTAGTTGATTATAATTGCACATTTTAGGTTAAGTGTAAGAGTAGCCTTTGGCTAAACTGCGCCTATTTTGTACCTTCACCAATGAAGACGATTTATTATTATTATTATATCGGCAGGTGTAGGCCAAGACTCGCCGAATACACACTCTTTTATTGACCACAAGTCCGGACAGTTGCATAAGTGATCAAACTGGATATCAAGTATTATAGTATAACAATTTTCAATTGAAGGTAACTCATATACAAATTGAACTGAGAGCTAACGGCAACAATGTTAAATCTGTTAAAAAAAAATCTGTTTTTCCGTTAACCAGCTGTCGCACCCCTACGAACGACAACCCTCAGAAGTCGAAACTTGTGCGAGCTAAGGATTAACGAGGTGTTACCTTTTAACGTGTTATTCCTAACACGGAATGTTAGGTTCTAACACATGTTAGAACTAAATTCTTACCGGGGTTATTTTTATTGTCTATGCATTGCCATTGTAAATCATTGAAAAGAAAGATGATTCCATAAAATTTGTAACAAGATAGCTTCTGCATATCAATAGGATGTACGAGCGAATAGGTGAACCAATTCGTTAAATACTTTGAAACATCGGTAAACTGATCAAAACTTCGCAGGTATATTATATTTGAGTCCTTAAAATGCCATAACTATTCATTCGGTTTCTTCATTATCAAGCGTCCTTATCTGCATAGGCGTAGGCTGTTCTGTTTCTTGTGAAGGTGACTTTGTTTTGTATTTATTAAATATATTTTATTATATTTATTAAATAGACTGTTATATTTATTAACTTTAAAATATAAGATAGAGTTGGCCAATACATGTTTTTCAAAATACATTATCATAAATTTTCATCACATTCACACTTTATTGTGAGATAATCAGTTGACCTAGTCATTAAACTCAGGTATAACTGTCATTAATTAGTTCCTAGAATATTATTAGTTTCTAGGTAGATAGTAATATTCCAAAAAGTATATATAAATCACAATGTATGTAGAATTCATATTTATTATCTGGACGAAACGTGGGTGAATGATGGTCACACAGTATATAAGATCTGGCAAGATACTACTGTAGCTAGTTATCGTCAAGCATTTGTGGACGGTTTATCAACAGGGTTACGCTAGTTGCACACACACCGATTATGGGACGTCCAGTTTAAAATCGGCCGATATTTTATTGGTAGCGGGTGCTTGCACACTCACCGGATTTATATCGGTCAAACAATCAGTTGCTTTGTGGTCGTAATTAGCACGCACTACCAAAACGAAGTTAATGCGTAGTAACTACAATTTTACCGAGCATTCGAGACTAGAATGGTCGATAAAAAACCGGTGAGTATGCAAGAGTGTATTTAGTCATGTACGCTACTACTTCCCGGTATTGCCGGCCATACAGTGACAGTGGACGGCTGCTCACCGGTATTTTACCGGCGACGATCACCGGTCGGCGTGTGTGCCAGGTCCCGTTCCCACATGTGGTTCACTATTGGAATTTGGACGACCGGTACAAAGTCGGCCGTCCAAAATCGGTGTGTGTTCAACTAGCGTTACACGGACCAACGGGTGAAGGGCAACGACTAATTGTCGCCCATATAGGTGGCGAGAGTGGCTTTTTAGACGATAGTGCACTATTTTTTTTTATCCAAAAAAACGGGGGATTATCACTAAGACATGGACGCCCAACGCTTTAAAGGATGGTTTGAATCCCTTCTTTCACGAGTCGAGCCAAATTCGGTAATAGTAATGGATAACGCTTCTTATCACAGCCGATTAGTAGAACAGCTGCCAACTATGACCACCAGAAAAGCAGACATGCAGAGTTGGTTAGGACAAAAAGGAATTCCATTATCCGAGGACATGGTTAAGGCCGAGCTTATGAGTGTCATTAAACAACATCGTGACAGATATCGCCAGCATGTGGTGGATACAATAGCTCGTGCTGAAGATATCACCATTTTGAGACTTCATCCTTACCATTGCGAGTTAAACCCTATAGAATCAATCTGGGCTCAAATTAAGGGTTACGTAGCTCGTGAAAACGTGACATAAAATTTCTGATGTCCAACGTTTATTAGAACTCGCAATGGAACGGATATGGAAAGAAGATTGGGCTAATGCTGTAGCCCATGTGATCCTAGAAGAAGAGAAAACTGTGGAGATTGGACGGGATGGTAGACACTGTTTTCGACCAAATAATAATAGATTTAAGTGTGACTGAGGATTACTCTTCGGACGAGTCAATGGATTCTGAAACGTCATAAGCATAACATAGGTGATTATTTCGTTGCTTTGTAGTTCTCTTTCTATATAAAAGGAACATAATAATTATTTTGTAAATATTTCTGGTTTTTTGAAGTACTGTATTAGGCATAATAAGAAAATCTAATCAGTTTTACCATTGACACCAGGTAGCGCCACCCACTATAACAATTTTTACGTAATTACCTATGTGTTTAAATAAATAAAAATATTATTTTGTTACGCCTCTGCAGAATTGGTAAGAGGATTATCCGTTGGTCACTTCAAGTGCGACGTTGCTAATGAATCACCTTCATTTGAAAATTGTTAAAGTATAGGCACAGTATTTTGTATACAGTAATTTCATAAAGGCTGATTTGTGGTTTGAATTTTCCTACGCGCAGACCCACGCGTCGATGTCTTGGGTCTGCGCAAACGACGAGTTTAAGACAGGCATGCAAACCTTCCATAGTTGTCGAATTTCATGGGTTTCAGCCAACCTACTGAAACTATTTTCAGTGAACATTTTCCAAACTTATCGATAGAAACTGGTGTTGGAACATAGTTCATCATTGTCCAAATGATCTGGGTTACTTCAATATTACACAAATGCAAAATTATCATTTGTACAATTTTCTCAGGTGCCCAACATGGTTTTCATAGACTGTTTTTTTTTGAGCAGTTTATATGAATAGTTGTTATGTTGAGCAGTGTATAAACGCTTTGGTTGAGATTGTAGTAGGGAGAAATGTCATTAGTGTCAAATACGTCATCATTATAAAAAATGAAACTCCTGGACACCGACATCAAAGGGACCGACGCTGAGTGAAACTACTGTATACAGAAATACTGTGGTATAGGCTTTGCAGCCGACTCAGTCATCCTAAGATATTACAGAGCTCTGAAGAAGAATTCAATTCAAAGCTTTGGCAAGAAAACGAACAATCAACAATCAACGTTGAATTTGGTCATTATTACGCCTTGGTTTAAGTTTGACGTTTCGTCACGAGGTGGTCTGGCTATGTATTGAAGCTATTGAAGCTCTGGAGACACTCTACATTTTGTTTTGAGAGAGAGGACAGTGTGGTGCTGCAGGTTTTTCCGGGTTTTCCTGCAGCTGAAAAAGCAAATGCGCCACTGGAATCAATGAAGTCGCCCCGGAGCGCCAATTAATTTTTATTGTTATTTTTATTTTTATCGTTGTTTTACGAAAACAATTCACCAAAAAGTTAATTCTAGCTTACCGTATTGCGCTCTCAACTGCTTGAACGCGTGGAACATATTCCTGAACCTCTTGTTGTATTTGGCGTGCACGAGCAGAACCTGCACCCTCTCGAACGGCATGAACCCCGCCTCCAGGGTACCAGATGCTGCGCTCGCGCTTATCTTTTCCAAGTACTCATTCATGTTGTACCGCTTCAGCGCTATCATCGCCGAATTGTTCACGCCGAACATGGTGGTGATGGAAACAGTCTTCTGAAGGAGAGGCGGCAGACAGCCGCGGTACAGATAGAACGGGCCCTCTTTGCGGATGGATTCGAAAGCGTTTTTGAGACGACCGTCTCCGAGGACCTGCCGGTAGATGAGTTTGTTGATGGGGAAGGTGATGGAGGTGGTGACGAAGGCGGCCCCAAGACCGCATCCGAAGTCCCTCAAATAAGCATCGGTGGGCATGGGACGAGGCGGTTTGACATTTTCATTCAGAATTTATTGACTGTCACGAGTGACAGTTCGGGGAACGTCGAATGTTGCGTGAGGCCGATCTAATAGTCCGGTCAAAATAAACCGGGAAAATAGTCGCTACTAGTCGTTGCCCGCGTAGAGTTTGGTTTGTCACATTAAGTTTCGTGACAGATCATTTCAAACGAATAGTTACAATATTTTTTTATTAACCCAAAACTTCGGGTTTCCAACTCCAAAACTAACGACATTCAATACCATCTCTAAACCCCTATTTTCCCTTCGGGGGTGGAAAATCCTGATTCCCTTCCTTGACGCTTATTTACGCTATACAAAGAACCTACCTGCATATTGATGCAGGTAGGTTCTTTGTATGGAACCTACCTGCATATTGATGCAGGTAGGGTCTTTGAATGAGTGTCAGTCAATCAATAGGTACCCACTTATACAGAGGTGCGCAAAAGTCCGGAATAAAATTAATATCTTTTCAACCAGTATTTTAGGAAAAAACGCTGAAACACGTCGGTAAATTTCACGTTGTACGCATTTTTTGACAATAAAATGAAATTTTTTTTTAACCCCTAGATATTCCAGGTAAAACACAACATTAATTGGTCCTTCGAGCCGGATGGTTTCATTCATGTTTTTCGACAATTTGTCACTATACATCTCTTGCGGAAAACCTCGTCTACTACCAAATTGTCGAAAAACATGAATGAAACCATCCGTGCTCAGGTCGTGTGCAATCTCTAAGTGAATTGCTCGTGTAAATGTTCACCCTGGGAAGGATGACAAAATCAGAGTGGTTGATGTTGTTACAGCTTCTCGAACAACATTCAAACGAGCTGTATCTACACTTTGCATACTTGATGTATTTAAAGAGAAGTCTCCCGAGAATAATCAGATTTGAAGTAATTTCTTTTATTCGAATCAATTACTGCGGGAGAGAATGTTCAATATTTATATTCATTATTATTTGTTTACTCTCTCATTTACCCTGTATATAATTATATTTAGTTTGATGTTCAGTTGTTGTAACTAAAACAGAGAGAATAAAAAAAATTTTTTTTGACTGACATTGAATTTCAATATTTCGTTCTTCGAGACCGGATTTAACTTAGATATTCCAGGTAAAACACAACACATGATACAGTGAAGGACTTGCCCAGAAGTGGCCGGCCACATGTTTTAGACGAAGATCAAAAATTGGACATTGCCGTATCTCTGCAGGAAGAAGAAGAAGAACTTTATTTCCAGATAGGCAAGCCTAATATAAACATCATTAATGTACTTTATCTAAATATAATACATAAAAATCAAAAATAAATTAGTCTATTATAACCAAATAACAGAAAATCACAAAAAAAGAAAAAAAACCTATATCGCACATATTATATATAGGATACAACTTTACATATTTACTTATATATTCATTCAAAACAAAGTTTTCGTTATTATTGTATTTTAAATATAAATTAGCTTTAATTCAGTTTTTCTTTATGAATGTTACCAAGTCCCTCTTGAATAGACGGAGAGAAGAAGAGTTTTTTATGTTATTTGGTAGTTTATTGAAACTGTCCAGACCTTTGAAAAATAACGAGTTCATACTGCTACGTGAATTTGTCCTTGGGATGTAAAAATTGGTGTTCGATCTAGTATCATTATTTATTATTTTAAGTATAAATATCATAGTTTGATAATACAATCGTTGATAGACATTAAGCCACCTTAAACTACAGAGCATTATTATGTATAGGTGTCATTCTATTGCAGAATATTATTCGCATTCCACGATTTTGTAATTTTTGTAATTGATTTAATTTGTTCTGATTCAAGAGATATAAGAGAGTCCCGCAAAAATCGTAATGAGGTTTTATTATGCAATTATAGCATGTTATTTTGGCATACATTGATAATACAGATGCCACTCTAGAAAAAAATACAGTTTCTTTGATATTTTGCTTATTATATAGTCAGCATGATCATTCGATGAAATTGTATTATTGTACTTAATTTTACTCACTATTTCTACATCAGTTTCGTTAATTTTAATTTTGACTGTGTTTTTCCAAATTTTATTTTGTTTATACTTTGTTGTAATGATCACCACATTTGTCAACGGTTTCATTAGTCCAAAACAGTCCTGCGTCTAGACGTACTATTGGGAGGTTTTTGAAAACAGAAAAATACCACCCATATAAGGTATGTCTTGTCCAAGAGCTCTTGGAAGATGACTATGACAGGCGTTTGCAATTTTGTGAGGAAATAATGAGGCGATGTGACGAGAATTATTGGTTTCCACTCAACATACTCTTTTCGGACGAAGCTACTTTTTATTTACATGAAGTAGTTAACAGGCACAACTATCGATTCTGGAGTCAGGAAAACCCACACTGGATATGCGAAACTCGTACGCAGCGTCCTCAGAAAGTAAATGTAATGGTAGGCATCATCAACAACAGAATATTAGGGCCATACTTTTTTGAGGGAAACCTTACAGCTGCACGCTACTTAGACTTTTTACGCTTTGAATTAGTCCCTGCTTTAGCTGTTATGTTTCCCAATGAAGCAGATCCAGATATCTCCACTGAACCACTTTGGTTCCAACAGGACGGCGCTCCCCCACATTGTGGTATTAATGTCAGAGAATATCTCGATGACATATTTGCAGGATGCAGGATTGGACGACGTGGTACAATTGAATGGCCGCCAAGATCCCCAGACTTAACGCCATTAGATTATTTTTATTGGGGATATATGAAAGACAACGTTTATCGAAATAGGCCGGCTAATATTGAAGATCTAAAAAGCAGAATTAGAGTGGAATCACATAACATACCGGCTGAGGCCATTCGGAATTCCGTAGACGGGTTTTACCATCGCCAAGGAGCCTGCCAAGTAGAAGCTGGAGGCCAATTTCAACATCTGTTACGTTAATTCACCCGTAGAGAGCATTAAGTTAGGTATTTGTAACTTTTCAAAAGAGTTTTTTCTCATTTCGTTGTAACCACAAAAAAAAAATATAGGGTATGGTCAGAATCCATTTTTTACAAGCGTTTCAATGAGCCCATACACGACATAGGTTTGCATTTGAAAAAAAAGTTGTGGAGGGTTGCAGCTAAGGGGTTGAAAAAAAAAAAATTCTTTTTATTACCGAAAAATGCGTACAACGTGAAATCAACTGACGTGTTTCAGCGTTTTTTTCCTAAAATACTGGTTAAAGAGATATTAATTTTATTCCGGACTTTCGCGCACCCCTGTATACAATATTGAATAGCATCAGCAAAAAAAAACTGAAGGGATTAAAATGAAATACATTGGTAATGCTCCTAATCCTACTCCTACTAATACTATAAATGCGTAAAGTTCGTGAGGATGGAAGAGTGTAATGTATATATTTACATTTTTCAATTTTTCACGCCTAAAGTGCTCAACAGAATCAAATGTAAGTTGGTATCAAATTTTGGAAAATTTGATAAGAAGGTAATTTTCCCAAAATCAACTCGATGGGATTGAAAACTCAAAAATAGTGGGGAAGTCTCAGTATGGTGTGTCTTCAGCAATACTCTCAAAGGGCATACACTTTTTGAAATGTTTTTGTCTGTAGAACTTCAAGTAGTTGGTTTTTGGTATAGTAATCTTCAAAATACAAATTGTCAACATTGCAGTTCTCAATATTTTTCCACGTAATTTCAAAGAATTCGGAACCCATCCTTCACTTCCTCCGCAATGCACAATGATTAGTCGCGATCCATTGTTTGGAGGCACGTTAGGCGTACACATTCTCGAACCATCAGTCCACCCTTTCGTAAATGTGTCGTGAGTGTCATACCAAGTTTTGTCCAAATAGAAAATTTGACGTTGTTCTTGTCTATATTTAGTTATTTGTTCTAATTATTTGTAAAAAAATTCCACTATTCTTCTGCTTTCCATGACTGCTTGACGATTATTTATTATTTTAAATCTAAATCCCAGTTCTTTATCCAATTCTGAAGAGTTTTGTCACAGCAGCTAACGTTATGGCTGGAAATATTCAATTTCTTCCTTATGATTTCAGCTGTAGCAATCTCATTGCTTTCGTAACAGTCGTATATTGTTTTTTTCAATGATTTTATTATATGAACATCTAAAGGTTTTGGTAATTTCATATCACATTGCGTCTTGCGTTCATAAGTAGTTTTTTAGACGTTTAGACAGATTTCTATTGAGTTTTTCTCCGGTTTTTTTCAAAATGTCCCATTTTCCACATTTCAACGGTGAAGTAGATCAAATAAAGATTTTTTCCCAACGTTTATCTTGACTTTACAATATTTTCCATTATTTGTTTAACGTTTCTCTCAATGTAACAGTGTTTCATAGCGAATTGAAGAGAAAAAAATCCTGGCTGAAATACCGAACATTTCATTGCTGGGACTTGTAGATATGACCATTGTTCTCACACTCAACGCATATACCACTGATGATCTCTGCCACAACAACAGACGAAACGTTTTGTACTTCTTTAATCGTGACTCAGGCCGTTAAAGCCTATGTTGTTATGGTGAAATTCTAAGTTTCAAGCTTTGTCTGAAAATACGTTAACAGATTTGAAATCTATGGAAGAAAAAAAAAAGCATATGATATTTTCACAGCAAAACTTATAACACAATAAGTGTAATGAGTTTTGCTATGTCTATATAAAATGAAACTGAATGAAGTGATATTGAAATATCCCTCTTCAACTTATAAAAGTGTTTATTTAAAAGTGAGTTTGGATCATTTAGGCATTTAACTGAAAAATTACTGTGCTTGTACTTCAGATGCCAAAGAAAAGACAGGCTGCAGCTTGAAAACAGCTAGTTTTATGTATTACACAATTCAATTGTAATTTTTTTAATAAATGGGTAAGTGTGATAGTTTTGTGGAAGACTATAATTTGGCTTTCATTGATCGTTGCTACAATCAAGTTGAAAGCATAAAAGATGTCTTCAAATTGATTCACGACAACAGTGCACAACTCTCAGAACGACATGAAATTCTTTTAAAGGATACGTGCTGTACCTTCTGTCCTGCAAGTCAAGTAAACACAAGCACCATGAACATGCGTGTTCCTCCTGCCTCTGGTCAGGTTCTCCCCGAGGGCGAGTTTGAAAAATCTACAAGCGGTATCGATACAGTGTTGACTCAGCATCAACTGGCTGCACAGCCTCGATATCCCTTGCCGAGCTTTTCGAACGGTGATTTCTTTGGACTCTGCTTTATCACTCATATGGAGGCCTATAATGCAGACCATCAACAATGAATGCTAACTAAAAGAAGAGTTTATTACCTCCAAACTTGGTTATGCCTCCCTTTGAGTCAGCTGCGACGAACTGTCCGATAGCACTAGAAGACCCATGAGCCCCCTCTTCGAACTGCACTTCAGCGACGATAATGTTGTCCTCGAGCACAGACCCGCAAGCCGTACACACCGCATCCCCTCTGGCGGGGTCTACTTCGATATCCGAGCCTCCGCAGTTTTTGCACTTACGCCCCGACGACATTCTGTGTGATGCTACGGAAATGAACTTAAAATAAACGCGAACTTACTGTACTCGTACCGTTTCACCTGTGTTTTGATTATGTGAAGAATTTGGTTTTGGAATTCTAAGTACCAATTTTTGGCAATCTAGGTTATGTATCCAGAACTGTGTCATAACCAAATATCAAACACAAATTCACAAAACACTTCAAACTGTCTTTAATTTCTATGGCCGTTGCTCACAGAACTAAAACTAAGTTATAGTTATGTGCCGTTGCTTCTCATTCGAGCAGAGTTGCCAACCGTAGCGGAATTTATTCGACGATAGCGGCGCGGCGTAGCTGATTTGAACATAAAGTAGCGTAATTTGTTACAAATAATCAATATTGGAAAAAATATGTAAGAAGAAGAAGCAGTGAACAGCACTCGAAGTAGAGATAGCACTGAACAGGTAAATTTGAAGAACTTGTTCGTACTGTTCCAGTTCTCACCGAAAAACTGTAATTTCATGTTCACCTATTCTTGAATGACGTCTCATCTTGCGTCATGGTCATTTTTAAATTTCGGTTTCGAGTGGTTCCGAGTTTCCGTACGTTCCCTCCATTCGACTTGTTGTTCTAGAGTTTTATTTCAGTAACAGGCTGAATTTTAGTGTAAAATAAATGAAAGATCAATCTCTATTTGGATTTTTTTTCAATTACAGAGAAACAAGTGCAACTAGCAACATCTGAAATTTGCAAGCAGGTTATTTCCTTCAAATCTTTCATGACAAATTTAAAGCGTCGTATGCTTGGGTGTCACACCAATAGGTGGTTCCACTTATGTTTCGCTTGCGTTTACGCAGCTATTTTTATCAAGTATCGATTTATAAGCTTCTTCTTGAAATAATTGTTTGAACGTTGGGTTGAATTTTTTTGCAAAAGTTCCTTACAAAATTACAGTAAATTGAAACTGAATTTTTTTTATCTTACACCAACTTACATACACTTATGTGTTGAGTAGTTAGTGGAACATGGGACTTGTATCCAAAGTTATTTTTCCATCAATCAGTTATAATTGATATATCGTTATTCGGCAAATTTTTCTTCTTCGGCTCGTGTCTACAAACTCCCTGATAAAGTTATGCTACAGAGAAGTCCGAAAAAGCAGTATTGAATGTATTTAAAATAGTTTTTTATCTATCCAGTGCAAGCAAATGTTTTATCCTTGCCGAAAAACAATTCATAAAATCTAGGGCCTTTTCCCAGTTCAATTAAAGAAATTTGTTTCTAGTATGCTATCCCAGGCCAGTAAAAAAGCTTTAAGGGATGGTTTGATAGGCCAGTTTGTCTGAAATAATATCATGAAATACATTTAATTTTCACTGTTTATGGTACATATTGTTTTGTGTGAAAGCAGATGTAAAGGCTAGACGATCCATTAAAAAGTATTTCGTTGACGACTCGATCGGCTACAAGCTCAATCAGCGTAAAAGGAGAAATGTTTGTAATAAAATGTGAGTTTTACTTTATTGATCGATGTCTATCTCTAATAAGCTTACTTCTCCTGATCAGCTTTTTCTGATATCTGTGAATATACGATCATTCGTAATCCAACACCACACAGCACTGTTTGGACTTGCCAAGGGCTCATCAGTGGTGTTAGGCTAAACGACGATTACACTGCTGATCCCAACTGTCCTTGAGGATGGATATTCTTCTCTGTTGATTCTCAATAATTGCCCAAATTGACAGGAACAAAGTTGTCACGCCGTGTTTTGCAATTCAACTTTGATAAAAAAAGATGATTGGCATTTAGTTTCAAAACTGACAGTTGACAGTTTTTTAATGACTTTTTTTCTCGATATCCACTGCATCAAAAATTTAAACAATGGGATGTATTGAAAAAAGCAATCGATGACACCATTGAAAATCCACATTTCAACAAGATTTTTCCATGAACACTAATCATGAAACGATAAGTAGAAATGGCAGTATGTATATTCCGACTCCATTCCAAATTCATTCGAATGAATTTACAGAGAAAATCTCGTAAAAGCCATTTACTTTCTGAAAACAATAGAGCAAGAAAAACACTCACGATGTGACATTTTCATTGAATCACCAGTTTCTGAAAGCTTTCTTATTCACTTATCACAAAATCCAGAGATAATAAACTTTTATTCGTATGTTTGCTCCTATAATTGATGCCCACTTTGTTTTTGTCGAGTACGTTGCCAAGTTCTCCTGCCATATCAATATTGATTCATTACATTTAAGTCGAATAACTTGAAATACCTACTCATCAACGCGAAGCTCACCGTGTGACGGCTATAATTAGAAAAACAGAGAAACTGGAGATTTTCGCATTATGTTAAAGTAACTTTTGGTGAAGGAAAATCAGATTTCATCGACCTCTTTGAGGTATTTTTACCTTCCACAATGTGGAAAATGGAGAAATTTATATCTTGTTCGATTGACAACCTTTGTGCATGTAGAAAAAGCAAATTTTTCGGTAGATTCAGTTGATTTCCTTACAACAGATCTCTGCTGCAGTGGCGGAGGCGTGTCGCACCGGGTCACCTTTTTTGAGGTGACACCAGCCCGGTGACTCAACTTAAAAAACCATATACATACATTAAAAAATCGCTCTCACTGCTGTCTTCTTCGGGGATTCCTCCACAAGCACTAGCTCAGCACTATGTATAATTCGGGGTTTCCCCAAAAAGCAGACGACGCTGTCGTGTGGGGTTCCCCGTCCCATAGTCGCGATCCTTGACGTCTCAGTTGCATTGTTTATCGTTTCTCATTTGTTTCGCGAAGTGGTTAACTATGGAATTGTATTATATAGTTGTTTCAAAGTCGTGTAAAAACAATGGTCGTGACATCACTCAAATTCAGTAAAATTTTCTTCTTCCCGTATTCATATTGTTCTTACTGAGCGTGTTATGTTCCAACTTGTCATTGAGCCGAAATTAAGAAGCATTTCTTAAGGAAAGGAAGACTTGATTTTTGAAATTTCGTTGAAGAAATATTTGATTGCGTAATATTTATTGAAGAGTTATGTTGTATATTCATTCATGTACTTTTTCTGCTTTACAAAAATTATATGCATTTTGACATTGTTCCAAAGGAGAGGGAAGTTCAATGATCATGACTTCACAATCATTTATGAACAAGTATGGGTGTTATTTTCTGATGAATGAATCATTTCCTTATCGAACTGAGGAATAATATTGATTTTTCAACTTGTTTTCTCGGAAAGTCGAAAGGTGTATTTGTAATAATTCCAAACTACTTCCTAAATGAACAAATCCTTCACGGCCACCAATTTATCCTTTGTTCTGTTTCCAAACCGGTGACATTTCCAGGCAACATATTTTGTTGAAAACACTTGAAAATTCTAAAACACCCATTCTACGATCTGACGTATGGCCTTGTGGAAAGAACTACACCACAATTCAAAAAAGTCTGTTTCCGTTTTCTGTTTCAATAAAACTTCTCGCCACGCAACTTTTACAGCATTTGCATAATACTTGCAGATTTATGGAATGCTAAACAAAACGATAAAGAAGGTTGGAACACAAACTCGCGGTGGGAATTCACCCTTTATTGAAAATTCGATGATGGGCAATATATTTTTCACATTTTAAGCAGGCGATTACAGAAAGGGGTAAATGGAAATGAGGTTTTAATGAAGAGGTTTTTATGGTTTTGTGTTGGGATGATTTGGATTTGTGGTTCCATCAATTTATTGATTGTTTTGGCCTTTTAATTTTCAGGCGAGGGTTCGACTTTGAAACTTCAAAACAACCAATGAAAGATGCTGATTTCGAAATTATTCAAGTGAAACAATATACAAGTGGTAAAAAAAGTTTTGGGTTTCTACTTCTCCACCTTTCTTTTTTAAAAATATATTCCTTACAATTGCATCAATCATTCCTCAAACATTGTTTTTCGTCAAATTTGGATAGCAATGACTTTTTTCTTGACATTTTCCCGATTAACATTCTTCACCGACTTTCTTTATACAATTTTGTCTCATTACATTAACGATCGTATTTTGTTACAACTCAATTTTTTTACGGAAAATAACTTCTTTTCAAAAATTTGATTTTTGAACTTTACTCTACTTGCCTACCACATCGCCGGGCGTGTCGTTAGGTGGTTAGGTTAGGTCCAAAGTGAGTGGGTCGATTCGACCCTCCACCGCAACCCACAAGGGTTTATTGTGGCTCACACCTATTATTCACACGTGACCAAATAAACCCAGCTTTTTAACGAAGCCAATTAGTTTGTTTGATGAGTGGTCTTTCAGGTCAGATGGTAAAAGTACGGCTCTGCCGAACTCTAAAAACCTGATTCGGTCTCCAGCGAGGCAGGCACAAAGTATATGCTCTGCTGTTTTAGCGTTAATGAGGTAGTCGGATAGGAAAGGTGCAAGATTTCCACTTTGATACCCGCGACAACCTTCCCATATGAAGGTTTTTGCACGTCAGCTACACCTGACGATGCCTTATACTATAACAATTTTCAATTGGAGGTGATTCATTAGCAATGTCGCACTTGAAGTGACCAACGGATAATCCTCCTACCAACTCTGCAGAGACGTACTAAAATAATATTTTTATTCATTTAAACACATAGGTGATTACGTAAAAATTGTTATAGTTGGTGGCGCTACCTGGTGTCAATGGTAAAACTGATTAGATTTTCTTAGTATGCCTAATACAGTACTTCAAAAAAACAGAAATATTTACAAAGTAATTATTATGTTCCTTTTATATAAACAGAGAACTACAAAGCAACGAAATAATCACCTGTGTTATGCTTATGACGTTTCAGAATCCATTGACTCGTCCGAAGAGGAATCCTCAGTCACACTTCAATCTATTATTATTTGTGTGTGACAGTGTCTATCATCCCGTCCAATCTCCACGTTTTCTCTTCTACCTTGATCACATGGGCTATAGCATTAGCCCAATCTTCTTTCCGTATCCGTTCCATTGCGAGTTCTAATAAACGTTGGACATCAGAAATTTTATATGTCACGTTTTCACGAGCTACGTAACCCTTAATTTGAGCCCAGATTGATTCTATCGGGTTTAACTCGCAATGGTAAGGAGAAAGTCTCAAAATGGTTATGCCTTCAGCACGAGCTATTGTATCCACCACGTGCTGGCGATATCTGTCACGATGTTATT